GTCAATAGGTAGAGGTCAGATGAAGTCCAGTCTCTTGGTCCTCCAAGTTGGGAGTTCGACTCGAGTTAGCGTCTCAGTCAGTAAAATGTTAGAGGAGTAATTGATCCAAGTAAATGGGCCTCTATATCGCTTTACCCGCTGCCTTGCGGTCAGGTTGTTGTCAGAACTAAAGGCTTTGGACGAGCACCCTAATCGTTCTCCTGCTTAGTAGCTGGACACCCTGGCAGTACCCATCCATCAAACTCAAATGCATACACAACCAAAAAATAATTCCATACTACATCGGTCGTAGCGCAGGATAATCAGGACCGCGCTGCCCATTGCATCGAGCGGGGTGGGTGGTGATATGTGGGCTACTGCTCAGATATCCCAACCTTTGTTTAACTCTGTATCTCCCGTACCCAATCCTCTCCGTTCACCCCTTCTTCCAACCCGTAACATTCCCTCAGGCAACTTGTTCGTCACTCACCAAAGTTCGTTGCCAATTAGCCCGGTAAGTAGTTTACCACATGATAGATTGCAGCTTTCGAAGCCTCGTCAGCCACTGAATCTGGGGGCCTTCAACATGAGGACTCGGATGCAGGTAGGTCAACAAGCGTGTCTGGCGCGTACAATGGACTCTTTGGGGATTGATGTCTGCTGCGTGTCGAAGACTCGAATCCAGGATCCTCGAGGTTCGAGGTTCTTCCTTCGCACGTCAGGTGTTGACGAAGCCCGTTCAGTAGGCCAGCGTGGTGTGGGCATTGTACTGAATACAGCCGAAGCCGCACTACTCAATTGTATCCCCGTCAACAGCCGCTTATGTGCGATGCGGCTCCAAGGGTCTATCAGCGTCCGGAAGGGAAGCCACACCAAAAGGTGTTTATTCGTCATTTCAATGTATACACCGACCAACTGCAGTTCTGACGCACAAAAGGACGAGTCTTATGATAAACTCACCGAACTCATTCGGTTGAGCCGAAGCTCCGATATAGTTGTTCTCTCAGGTGATTTTTACGCTCAAGTTGAAAAACTCAGCGCATCGGAAGCTTGCCTGGGTGGTTATTGTGCTCTGCCCTGCCAGCGAACAGATAGTGGCGATCGACTTCTTCAGTTCTGCGCAGATCATCATCTGTTCCTGTCCAGCACCAACTTCCGACACAGCTCTCAACGGACAGCAACGTGGCACTCAAATTCGACTGGCACGCTAACTCAGATTGACCACATAGCAGTAAGCTACCGTTGGCGTGGCAGGTCCTATTGGACCACCAGCGTTGAATCTGATCATGCGTTAGTTTTGATGCAGTTCACTCTCCAACTCACTGGTCGCAGAAAATCCTACCTAACTCGATTGGCAGATCATCGCTTATCTCACCCAGCCGTTTGCGCCCGTTTTGAATCAGAACTAAGACAAGAGCTAAACGCGCTGCGGGGTGGTAGTGTAGATGAACAGTGGGATCCGATTAGCCGAGCAATGCACTCCGCAGCGAGAGTTGCTTGTGGATCTGAGGCGGTAGCTCGCTCGAGGCACTGGATATCTGATCAGTCACTAGCACAGATGGAGAAAAAGTGGCAAATCCCATCCGCCCGAGATCAAGGCAGAGGTAGGCGTCGTCTGCAACGTCAATTCAGGAAGAGCTTCAAGAAAAACTGTGAGAACTGGTGGGCAACGATAGCTAGTGAAATGAAAGTTGCAGCTGCATTAGGGAACAGTCAAAGACTGTTCCAACTGATACTCAACACGGGAGCTCGGTGAACCAGTTAGCGAAACAATCTGCGACAAAAGTGGACAAGCTATTCACAACAAAGAACAACGGCTTGACCGGTGGGCGGAGTACTTCAACGAACAATTCAGCTGGCCGGGCGCTAACCAGACTATCTCCTGTGATGTAGCTGAGGTTCTGTGATCAGTGTCTGAATCTCCTACTGCAGCGGAAGTGCGTTTTTGCATCCAAGCCATGAAAAAGGAAAGGCAGCAAAGCTGGACGGGATCCCCCTTTTTTTCAAGATGGGGAGGGGGGGGGGAATGATCTCGTAGACTCCATTACTGATGTAATGCGTGACATCTGGTTACACCAGTGCATTTCATCATCCTGGAGCGAACCACTGATCATTCCAATTTTTACGAAAAGATCTCGCAATGACTGCCCAAGCCACCGTGGAATAGGTTTGATCCCAACCGTCGCCAAGTTACTAACCTCCATCATACTTCGACGTCTGACACCGCCTAGGGAGATAAATATCCGCCAAAAACAAGCAGGATTTCGACCAGGCCGCGGTTGTATCGATCAAATCTTCACCCTCCATCAAGTCCTTGAACTACGCCATACGCACCGTCGACCAACGGTTGTCGTGTTTCTTGACCTGAAAGGAACCTTCCATTCAGTTGATCGTGAATCCCTTATGAGTCCGCTCCTTCGCAAAAGAAATGGCGCATTAGTACGTGAACATACTGAGGTCACTCTACTCACATACTTCTGGTAGCGTAAGGGTCTACCGCGAGCTGAGTAGGGCGTTCGTAACTAGCAGCGGTGTTCGTCAAGGGTGCCCTCATTCGCCATTCCGGTTCAATTTCGTCATAGACGAAATGCTGGAGGACACACTAAGTGGTCTCCAAAACGTAGGTATTGAATGGACAGCTGGAGAAAAGCTGTGCGATTTAGAGTACGCTGATGTCATCGTCTATCTGTTCAAATGTATGGAGGATGCACAAAAAGCACTTGACAGATTAGGAAGTTCTGTCGCTCCGTTCAGCATGTGCTTTGCACCTTCAAAGTGCAAAGTAGTGCTACAAAACTTGGTTGTCAGC